TAAAATAAAATATTTAACCCACAAAAGAAGAGAGATGGACATTACATATTGATAAGATAGTCAATTCATCAAGAACATGCAGCAGTTATAAACAGAGTGTCCCAAAATATAGGAAGTAAAAACTAACAGAACTGAAGGAAAAAATACACAGTCCTATAGTAATTGGAGATTTCAATAACCCATTTTCAATTATGGATAGCACACCTACACAGATGATCAATACAGAAATGGAGGATTTCATAACACTGTAAACCAACTAGATGTAATACACATGTACAGAACACTCTACCCAAAAATAGAAGAGTAACAGGTTCTTCTCATGAGCACACAGGACATCCTCCAGTATAGACCATATGTTAGGATGCAAAACAAGTCTCAATAAGCTTAAAATATTGTAATCATATAAAGGATCTTCTCTGACTTCAGTGGAATGAAACTAGAAATCAATAACTGAAGGAAAACTATAAATTCACAAATTTGTGAAATTGAACAACACTCTTAAACAACTAATGAATTAAATAAAAAATCACAAGGGAAATTTAAAAATTACTTTGAGATAAAATGAGAAACAGCATACCAAAACTTTTAGGATGCAATAAAGCAGTATTCGGTGGAAAATTTATAGCTATAAATACTTATATTATAAAAGGAGTAATATGTCAATTCAATATTCTTTACACCTTAAAGAATCAGAAAATGAAGAGCAATCTAACCCCAAAGTTAGCAGCAGTAAATAGTGATGATTGGAGCAAAGATAAAACCAAATAAGGAATAGAAAACAGTAGAAATAATCAATAAGACCAAAATTGGGACTTTGAAAACATCGACAAAATTAGGAAATTTTTAGCTAGACTGAACAAAGAGAGGACACAAATTACTGATATCAGAAATGAAAGTGGGACATTACTACAGACCTTATAGAAACAGAAAGAATTATAATAGTATGAGGGATTGTGTGCCAATAAATTAGAAACCTAGATAAAAAGGAAAAATTCCTAGAAATACACAAACTACCAAAAATGACTCAAGAAGAAATAAAAAAAATTTTGAATATACCTAAAATAAGTAAAGAGATTTATTAATCAAAAACCAATCAACAAAGAAAAGCTCAGGACCAGATGGTTTCACAGGTAAATTCAATCAGAAGAATAATTAACATGAGTCCTTCTCAAAATCTTCCAAAAAACAAAGAGAGAGAGAGAGAGAAGTGAGGAACACATTCTCTAACCAGTGAAAGTAGGCAAGGAAAAAAAAGGCATCCAAATTGGATAGAAAAAAGTAAAATTACCTCTGTTCACAGATAGTATGATCTTATATGTCAAAAAACCCTAAAGATCCTCCCAAAAAACCTGTTAGAAGTAGTAAATTAATTCAGCAAAATTGCAGGATACAAAATCAACACACAGCAATCAGTTGCATTTCTATATACGAACAATGAATAATCAGAAATATTAAAACAATTACATTTACTATCATGAAAAAAATAAAATACTTAGGAATAAATTTCATCAAGGAGGTGAAAATCTCAGTACACTGAAAACTAAAAACTGTTGCTAAAAGCAATTAAATACAAATAAATGGAAAGACAGCTCATGTTCATGGATTGGAAAAATTAATATTGTTAAGAATGTCATCACTACCCAAAGCAGTCTACAGATTTGATGCAGTCTCTATCAAAATCCCAATGATATTTTTGCATAAATAGAAAATTCCATCTTAAAATTCATATGAAATCTCAAGGGACCCCAAATAGCTAAAATAATCTTGAAAAAGAACAAAGTTGCAGGTCTCACTTATTCATTTCTAAACTTACTACAAAGCTACAGTAATCAAAACAGTGTGGTGCAGATACAAAGACTAATGGAATAGAAGTAAGAGCCTACTAATAAACCCTCACATATATGGTCAGGTGATTTTTGAAAAGGGTATCAAGACCATTCAATGGGGAAAAGATGGTCTTTTCAACAAATGGTACTGGGAAAACTGGACATGCACATGCAAAATAATGAAGTTGGACCCTTACACCATATACAAAAATTAGCTCAAATGGAAAGCTACAGAACCTTTAGAAAAAAATATGGGGGGTGGTGGTGCCTGGGTGGCTCAGTTGGTTAAGCATCTGCCTTTGGCTCAGGTCATGATCTCAGGGTCTTGGGATTGAGCCCCCATTGGACTCCCTGCTCAGCAGGTAGTCTGCTTCTCCCTCTCCTTCTGCTCCTCCACCCCCCAATTCGTGCTTTTTCACACATGTGCTCTCTCACTCTCTCTCAATCTCAAGTAAATAAATAAATAAATAATCTTTAGGAAAAAACATAGGGAATAAGTTTCATGACATTGGATCTGGCAATGATTTCTTGGACATGACATCAAAAGCAAAGGAAACAAAAGTAAAGGTAAACTGGACTACATTAAAATTTAAACTTCTGGACATCAAGCCACAACCAACAGAGTGAAAAGGTAACCTAAGGAATGGGAGAAAATGTTCACAAATTATATACTCAATAAATGTCAAGTATCCAGAATATATAAAGATTCTTACAACTCAACTACAAAAAGACAAACAACCCAACTAATAAATGGGCAAATGATTTGACTAGACATTTCTCTAAAGAATATATGTGAATGGCCAACAAGCACATGAAAAGATGATTGACATCATTAGTCAATAGAGAAATGTAAATCAAGACTACAGTGAGATACCACTTCACACCCACTAAGAAGTCCAAAATATAAATACATACATACGTACATATATATGTACATACATACAGAAAAGAGAGAGAGAGAGAGGAAGAAGGAAGGGAGGGAGGGAGAGAACAAGTGTTAATGTGGATGTGGGAAATTCTGAATCCTCATATATTGCTACCGGGAATGTAAAATGGTACAGCTGGTGTGGAAGACAGTTTTTCAGTTTCTCATAAAGTTAAATATAAAATTATCTTGTGATCCAGCAATTCTATTCCTAGGTATATACTCAAATTGAAAACACGTGTTCAAAAGTTATACACAATTGTTCATACAGCACTAGTCACTATGGCCAGAAGATGGAAATGGAATATCCATCAACAGATGAATGGATAAACCAAGGGTGGTATGTCCATAAATGGAATATTATCCAGGTATAACAAGGAGTGCATTACTGATACATGCCACAGCCTGGATGAACCTTGAAAACATTACGCTAATTGAAAGACACCAGACACCAAAGACCACATATTGTTTGATACCATTTGTATGCAATATCCAGAAAGGAAGGAAATCTAATGAGACAGGAAGTAGATTAATGGTTGCTAGGATCTGGGGATGGGGGAAATAAGGAATTATAGCTCAATGCTTACGGGGTTTCCTTTTGAGGTGATGAAAATATTCTGGAAGTAGATAGTGGTGATGGCTGCCCAACACTGTGAATGTACTAAATGCCACTGTGTACACTATGAAATGTGCACTTTAAAATGGAATTTTATGTTATGTGAATTTTAGCTCAATAGAAATAATTGTCCCCTCCACCCTATTTAGGAAGCTTATAGGCCAATAGAAAGGCTGAATGGTTGGGAATTTTGTAGGCCTAAATTTACTGGGTGGGATGATGGTAAGATTTAGATAAGAACTGCAAATGTCTAACACTTAAGACCACATCTTCATCATTTTTAATTGGTAAAAAGAAAAGATGAGTCTTTGGGGACTATTTGATAGCCCTGATATTCATTTCACTAATACCAAATGCATCCCAATCTATCACCCTTTGCCCACCCAAAATGTGTTTACTGGTTCATTGCATTCTAATCCTCAGAAAGGCTTGGTTAGTGCCAGAAATAGGGCATCCAAACATGACATCTTATTCCAATCCAAAACTTACTTGTTGAATAGCCACAAGGTTTTCATCACATACTAACAGTAACAACCCTGCCTCTGCCTTTCAAGCAGGTACAGTATGCCACACAAAAGTTATATTCCCCAGGACAGCCCCCAAATTAGAGGGCTGTTCCAAGTGCTACTTTTAATTATCAGAATTAAAAGGAATTGGTTAAAACTTTATACTACAAACTAGAATAGTTAAAATTTAAAATGATAGTATAAAATATTTTTAAATGATTTAAGAAATTAGACTTGTAAAAGAAACTTTCAATTATTATACAGTACTTTTACACCAATCTTATGAAGTAGGTATTATTTCCTCTATTTTACAGATGAAGAAACTTGGGTTGAGAGTGTCCGATTTTCCAAAGTGATTTTTTAACTATTAAGTGGAAGAGATGAGATTTAAACCCCCAAAATCTGATCACAGATCCTTTTCTTTTTCACCTCTGCCTACCTTTTGGCCCAGACAGAAGAAAGCTTTCAAGTCTGTGTCACTTTGGAAAATTGTTGACATATCTTTTGCAAGATTAGCAAAGTGTGGTGCCAACATTGGCAATAAGCTTCATACCAGACTAAAAATTTCTGCAATAGTAAGAATACCCAAATTTCTGCTCATTTGCGAGCTTAGAATATAGTGTCACAAGCAGTCTCATCCAGCTTCTCTAAGAGTGTAACCTATGAAAAATACCTACAACTTAATAACAATCATAGTTAATCATCAACAGGGTCCTGGCAGCAAGGTATCATACATATGTATATAACATCATATTATGGTATAATGGAGTGGAAAGGGCACAAGTCTTGGAATCAGGTGAACTGGGTTTGGAGGAATCAGGTGAACTGGGTTTGGAGCTTAGTTTTGCTACATACTAGTTAGTGAGTATAACCATGGACAAAGTACTTGATCTTGCTAAGTTTTCTTTATTTATAAAACAATACTACCTATCACGTGGACCTCTGAAGATTGAGATAAAAGCCAGATAAAATAATTAAGATAATTATGCTGAGAAAGTTATAAGCCAAATTGGTACCTAGACTTCAAGGGTAGATAACAAATATTTTCACCTAAATAGTTATTGTTGTTTTTAACATTTTCTGTGAACCTTGGAAAATAAAGTCTCACCTCTTACTTCTGCTTCTAGTTCCACTTGTCCTATTCAGACAAGGAACGCTATGAAAATGAAGAGAGACCTGAGGTCCAGAAGCAGATGCTCATCGATATGGCCAAAAAGCTACCAGTTTACACAAGAACTGGGAGTGGAGGTCAGTTCATCCAAAGTCACCTAGAGAAATGGCAAGTCACATTTTGAGATCGGCAAGGACCTCAAAAAGGCTAAGTCATATATATCCACAGGCTCATCTGTATACCTAGCACTGGAGTCTACCACTAACATTTTGCTATGTTACATTATCATATATCTGTCCACAAATCCATCCCTCATCCATCATCCATCAAGCCATCTTATTTTTTCATACATTTCAAACTAAGTAGCAAATATCAGTACACATCTACCTAAATATTTTATCATTCTTTTTTGAGTGAAATTTGCATACAAAGACACATACGTATCTTAAGTGTGCCGTTCAGTGTTTTGACAGATGTACACATCTGTGTAACTAAAACCTCTATAAACATTACCACATGCCGAGAAAGTTCTCTCATGCTCCTTCCCAGTCACTCCCACCAACCACCACCAAGGCAACCACTATTCTGATAGTTTTCCATCATAGATTAGTTTTACCACTCTAGAATTTTATATAAATGTAATCATACAGTATTACTGTTGTGTCTGGCTTCTTTTATTTAGCATAGTATTTTGAGATTCCTTCACATTTCTGTGTATTTTATTCCTTTTATTGCTGAGTAGTATTTCATTGTATGAATATATCATAGTTTGTTTATCCATTCACCAGTAGATGCACATTTGGTGTTTCCAGTGCTTAGCTATCATGAGTAAATCTGCTATGAATATTCTTGTATAAGTATTTGTGCAGAGATATGTCATCTTTCTTGGGTAAATGTCCACTATGGAGTTTTACTCTTAGTTTTCATCTGTATGACTAAAATAGTACTAGCTGAACAAGTTTTCCACCTTTCAAAATTTGAAACTCAAACCTCTTTTGACAAGTCATCCTAATGTTTCTAATAAGGAAGATTATGTTTTAAGGCTTTGGGAATTATACTGTTAGACATTTATGTTCATCTGTTTATCATTTATTTATTCAGTTATCATTTATTAAGATCCTGTGTGGCAATTGGGGGAATTTTAGTATGATCTGGGTATTAGATATTAAGGACTTACTATTAATTTTGTTAGAGCATTGATGTCATGGTATTCATGATTTTTTAAAAGTCTTCATGCATACTGAAATATGGTGAAAAGTAGACAGGAAATTATTTGTATAATTTCTCACAGTAGTAAACAGAATGATGGATAGAAGAGATTGGTTACAAACTAAAGGTGTATGGGATGAATTAGATCCAAGATAAATTTTGTTTGATGTCTCATGTATCATTTAAAACCTTGTATTTGTTACTGATTTTTAACAACTAGAATATTTCCACATGAAAGTCCTTATTTTTGGCTTCTCCTGAAAACTCGGACACTCTGGCGATATTCAGTCTGCATTTTCACATGGCAAAAACTAGCTAAAGCTGAGTAGTAGCCACACTCTTTAAATAAGGCATGCATTCTCAGGTTCCCTCACAGTCTCCAACTGGCTGCTTCACTCACTACTCACTAGTCTCTGGACCCTTGAATCATTTGTTTGCAGCCCTATGATATAGAGAAGGCTTCTCTGAGGAAATATCTTTTGGTTTGAGACCTGAATAATAAAAACCAGCAGGAAGTAAAGAGCAGAGGAACTGGCATCCCAGGCAGAAGGTACTGCAAGTACAAAAGGCCCTTAGACAGGAGCAAGCTTGCAGTATTAGAAGAACAGCCAGCCAGCCATGTGACTGGAGTATAGCAGGTGGAGAGTGATACCAGTTAAAACTGAAGAGGCAAGCAGAGGCCAGATGATACAGGCCATGGTAAGGAGTTTGGATTTTATTCTAATGGTGTTGGAAGTCCACTGAAGGTTTTAAGTAAAAAGTGATATAATCTGATTTACATTTTAACAGATCATCTAGCTATTCTATAGAGAACATATTATGGGGAACAAGAATGAAAGAGTAAATAATTAGGCATCTGTTGCTGTCATCTAAATGAGAGATAATGGTGGCTTAAACTGGGCAATGATATTACTATATCTTTAAAAACATGCTGAATGAATTAAACATGCATGTCCCTCTCCCTTTTTCTTTGCCTCGATTATAACCATACTTTTGTCATCCCTCCCATTGCTAGACATAAACACAAACTGCTGAATTAGCAGTCCATTATGCTAAATCAATTATATGTGCTTAATGTACACTTCAGATGGAATATTATATTAGCTCAAATTATTCATGATTTTAGTTGTTTCACTTAATAATAATTACATTAAACACAGTCATACTGTATTGATGAACAGAGAGAAAATGAGAAGAAAAGGAAAATGCCTTTCATTAAGGGAAATAAAGAAAGGAAGGAGAGAAGGAAGGAAGAGGGAGGGAGAATTTTTTTTTATATCAGACTTATAGAGTGAAGAGAACCCTGAGTGAAATAAGGGGTCAGAAAAACTATAGTGGTCACAGTCCTGCCACTCGCTTGCTGTGTGATCTTGTGTAAGTCACTTGATATGGCTCAAGTCTTTACTTCCTTCATCTGTGAAATGGTCAACTGAATTAATTGTTTTCATATAGGAAAGTTGGAGTAAACAGAATCTGAATGGTTTTCCCAAGATCACTCAAGCAGTTGACAGCATAGTTTGTTTTATAATACCAAATCTTATTATCAGATATCCAGATATGAAAACTTTTCCCTTTACCTTCATCCCCCAAAAGGTGCCTTCAAGATTGATCTAACAAGGAAAAAAAATACATACCACAATTCTCTTCTGTGATCTGCCTTTTTCTTGGTAACTTGAGATGAGCTTGACTACCTGTAATCAGTGTATAACAAGACATCCAGATAGGCTAGTAAGATATATGGTGTCATATTGAGCCCTAACCAATGCTAACCACCTTATTTTTCCTATAGCTGTTAGATTCTGTGACCGGTGCCATTTGATCAAGCCTGATCGCTGCCACCACTGCTCTGTCTGTGCCATGTAAGTGACATCCATATTTCCCCTGGGCTGAGCTTGGACAACAACCTGACTGATCCTAACATGTGACCATGCCTAGATAAGAGCATTTCCTTTCAATCATAATGAACACATGCCACATACCCTCTTAGAATGACGATTATTCAAACTATTCTAAAGATAGGAAAGATATAAAACTCCATTTTAAAAATAAATGTTCGGGGTGCCTGGGTGGCTCAGTCGGTTGAGCATCCGACTCTTGATTTCGGCTCAGGTCATGATCTCAGGGTCCTGAGATGGAGCCCCAGGTCAGGTTCCACGCTCAGTGGGGAGTCTGCTTCTCCCCCTCTCCCTCTGCTCCTCCCCCTGCTCACACTCTCTCTGTCAAATAAAACTTTTTTTAAAAATTAAAAAATGGGGCGCCTGGGTGGCTCAGTCGGTTAAGCATCTGCCTTCATCTCAGGCCATAATCATGGGGTCCTGGGATCGAGCCCTGCATTGGGCTCCCTGCTCAGCGGGGAGCCTGCTTCTCTCTCTACCTCTGCTGCCCCCCCTGCTTCTGCTCTCTCTCTCTTATGTTCTCTCTCTCTCAAATAAATTAAAAAAATCTTTAAAAATAAATAGATAAAAATTTTAAAAATTAAAAAAATAAATGTTCTGTCTCAGAACAGTTTAGATTTATAGAATTATTGTGATGATAGTTCTCATATGTCCTACATCCAGTTCCCCCTATTATCAACATCTTACATTAATATGATACATTTGTTACAACTAATGAACCAACATCAATACATTATTTTTAATTGAAGTCCATACTCTGTTTAGAATTCCTCAGTTTTTCTCTAATGTTCTTTTTCTTTTCTAAGATCCCATCCAGGATACCACATTACATTTAGTTGGCATGTCTTCCCAGGTTCTTTTAGCTCTTACAGTTTCTCAGACTTTACTTGTTTTTGATAACCATGACAGTTTTTAGGATTTTAGGATTAATGATCAAGTATTTTGTAGAATATCCCTCAGTTGGGATTTGTCTGATATTTTTCTCATGATTAGACTTGGGTACTGTGTTTTGGGTAGGAAGAGCATAGAGGTAAAATACCATTATCATTGTATTGTATCAAGGACACATATTATGAACATGACTTATCACTGTAATATTAATCTTGATCATCTGGCTGAGGTAGTGTTTGTCAGATTTCTCTAATGTAAATTTACTCTTCCTCTGCTGCTTCCTTTACCCTTTGGAAGGAAGTCACTATGTATAGCCCAAACTAAAGGAATGGAAAATTATGCTCCCCCTCCTTGAAGGCAGAATATCTACATAAATTGTTTGGAATTCTTCTGCTTGAGAGATTTGACTCTTCTCCCTTATTTATTTGTTTCTTTTTTTGTTTATTATTCATATAACTATATAGGCATGGATAATCACTTTATATTTTGGGTTATACCTCAGTACCACTTTATTTTGTTACTCGAATTATTCCAGCTTTGTAAAGTCACATCTGTATGTTAATAAATATAATCTTCATGTCCTTCTTCTTGGGTGTTATGTTCCACCCATATTTCTCTTACTGTTGATTCAGAGAGATCTGTCAAAAGATCAGAAATAGCCAAAGTAAAATAAATAAATCACGAGAGTAGTAATTAGTAATTTTTTAAATTTTTTTAAAGATTTTATTTATTTATTTGAGAGAGAGAGCACAAGCAGGGGAGGGGCAGAGGGAAAGAGAGAAGCAGGCTCCTGGCTGAGCAGGGAGCCCAACGCGGGGCTCGATCCCAGGATCCCAGGATCATGAACTGAGCTGAAGGCAATCGACTGAGCCACCCAGGGGCCCCTAATTAGTAAAATTTTATTGTGTACACACCAGAAAGACAGTTTGCAAACCGGGAGCACTCAAACCAAAACATAAAATGAGGCTTGAGATATATTGTTATAAAACAGCTTATATAGTGAGAAAACAAGGCCTTTTTATTCTTCACAGTGGTTAGAATATTCAGAATTTTCTTAAATGATAGAGAATTGGTCAGTGGTTACTTTATATCAACCTTAGAAAACAGTTTAAATTTTAATGATTTCCAGAGGCATAAGCAAGAAATGACCCAGGTCAGGTCAGTCTTATAAAATAAGCTAAATTAAGCTTTGCTTGTATGACTAAACTGGTTTTGTCAGCTTGAGAAATTTGCCAGGATGGTCTCCATTTGTCTTTTATTTTAACAGACTGTAGCCATATGTTTTCTTCTGTATTTTTATTAATCTGTGTATTGAGCAAAATGAGGGGAGATATCTTAGACTTCTAGGCATGTAACTTGCTGCCCGTATAATCCTATAAAGTGTTGTGATTGGCTCATCCAAGAAATAACTGAGAACAAAATAATTTTGCAGTAGCTTATAGTGGAAATCTAGGAATGAGTGTACTGGTACCATGTAAAAATACTGGTGAGACTTGAGTTCAATTATGAGGTATTACTTCATTTCCGTAGCTCCACTTATCACACTGTATTTTGTTTCTTTTGTAGGTGTGTATTAAAAATGGACCATCACTGCCCTTGGTATGTCCCTTTGATTCATGTCTTTATTCTGAAAGGGTCAAAGTTGCTCAAAATGCCTATTTTCCTAAGCATAGTTGTAACATGTTTGTTTCTCTAACCATAAATCGCTGGGTCTTGTATATACATGGGGGACAGGGCAGGCATAACATTTTAAAGCAAAAATAAATATACCACCAAAGGTATGGTAGTGAATTCCTGAGCTCACAAAACTAATGGTCTTTTGTCCATTAGCTTTAGTAATTGGGTGTAGTAATGAAATCAAGCACAAATAGTTCTCTTCTTTGACATTATACAATTAAGTTGTTTTTAGTTGTCTTGATGTTTGAAATATTCTAGATCGTTAACTTCAGCAATTCTCCAAATTTTGTATGTCTGACCTAGAGAACCAGTCTGAAACCATCTAACTACAAAGAGAACATGCCACACTGTACTAAGTGTAGCTGTTGAGATTATAGTAGGTTTTTAGCATCCAAGATTCAGGTTTTCTTGGGTGGGTCAGGAACCAGTCCAGAACTATTAAGTAGGCCAGGTGTCTCTATGCCTGTAAATGAAAAGAGAAACAAGTGAGACATGAACTTGTTTTTCTAGTCTGTTTCTATTAAGGGACTTCTATTCTGTTGAGTTTCTACACAACACATAATGAAGCAGCAAGAATAACGTCCTTCCATTGCTTTGTTCATTTATGTATCAGTGTGTTCTCAATCAATGGATCCTGATTTCAAATTCTTTTCTTTTTTTTTTTTAGGGTTAATAATTGCATTGGATTTTCCAACTACAAATTCTTTCTTCAGTTCTTAGCTTATTCTGTTCTCTACTGCCTGTACATTGCTACAACAGTCTTCAACTATTTCATCAAATACTGGAGAGTAAGTTAAATAACCCTGAAAGGTCACCCCCAAAACACACATCTGTGACATTTTTCAACTTTCCTTTTTACATTTTGAAATAGCTAATACTAAGATAACCAGAAAGGAAGCCACCAAAAACAAGTTTCCCATGTGGAATATTCTGAGATTTAGGAGTTTGTTATTTAAGGATTCCACTTAAATTTCTGTCATACATGAGAATCTTGTTAAGACCTTTGGGAACCTAACCTCTTGACTCTTAGTGATTCTTTACAATGTATTTACCTAGTCAAGTTTAAAATATCCACTTCTTACCAATTACAGATTTTTAAAATGTTGAAACTAATTTTGAATCTCTAGTTTCCTAAGAAAAATGCTAACAAAATAATCCCTCATTGTCAGAAAATACTTTCTCATTTCCTGTTCAAAGGAGAGTTGCAAAATTCCTACTGGACAAAAAGATTCATTGACTCATCTTCGCACATAACCAAAATGAAATGGGGAGTCTTATTTGAGCTTTATATGACAAACACTGGGTTGGGAATTAGAAAAACTGAGTTCTAATACTGGCTCTGTTACCTGCTTCCCTGGCTCATTGCCAAGGTCAAATGAAACATATGTTGAAAGGTAAAGTACTTTTACCTTCTTAATGATTTTGATGATTATAGTGAAATCTAAAAGAGAATTTCACATTTCTTCTACTTGAAGATTTCAACCGTATCCCATCTATTTCCAAACGAATTGAAGGCAGATTTTTACTTTACGTATGTGTGTGGGGTCTGGCAGCAGTATAGTGAATTTTTTTTTATTTCATGTCAATGGACTCCAGAAGATATCCCTTCCCCACAATTCCAGTACAGTAGTTAAAATATCATAACCTTCCATGATGAGGGTTGTCCAAACTGAACCTAAATAGCAAAAGAGAGATGTGGGCAGAGCTATTAGTAATTACTGAAGGAATTGTACAGGAGCCCATATAATAGGAATATCTCACGTCAAGTGAAGAGGTAAAACAACAGGGAAAGAATGTGAATCCTGTGACCAGACTAAAGATTATAATAAAGTGGAGAACAAAGAAAGACAGGCAGTGAGAACCTAAATACCTGAGAGTAGTTAAATTATTAATTAGTGCTTTGATCCCTACTAGTGTAGAAAATATAGTATAAAAAATTACAGTGATATGTGCTTTCCATTTTCCCAACTTTCTTAATCAATTCAGATATTTAATAACTTTAAGAATCAGGAATTATGGGGCACCTGGGTGGCTCAGTCAGTTAAGTGTCTGCCTTTGGCTCAGGTCATGATCCCAGGGCCCTGGGATCGAGCCCCGCATCAGGCTCCCTGCTCAGCAGAGAGTCTGCTTCTCCCCCTGCCACTACCCACCCTCTGGCTTGCACACTCTCTCATGCGCGTGCTCTCTCTCTCTCAAATAAATAAATAAGAATCAGGAATTATATAATGTACATCAAAATCTTCAACTCAGGGACACCTGGGTGGCTCAGTTGGTTAAGCCTCCGCCTTTGGCTCAGATCATGATCCCAGGGTCCTGGGATCTAGCCCTGCATCAGGTTCCTTGCTCAGCGGGGAGCCTGCTTCTCCCTCTGCCCCTTCCCCTGCTCATGCTCGCTCTCTCTCTCTCTGACAAATATTGATAAAATCTTTAAAAAAAATCTTCAACTCAGAGATACAAAAATATAAGCAGAAATGAAGTTTTCTCATAAATTTTCCCCAAATACAAAATGATTCATTATCTTGGCATCTCTTCTTTGGCTCCTTTCCACATCTCAGGATCTCTTATCTATTGCTCAGGTTTTCATGACCTGTTTGGCATCCCATTCACACACTGAGCTACTACCCTGAATGTAAAGAAAATCTACTGTATCCAATTCAGCAGAGAAAGTGTCAGCCTCGTCTTCACTACAGACCTTACTTGGTCTTCAACAGAGTAGCTACTGTTTAAGAACTCATAACCGAGTAAACAGTGTTGCATTTTACACATTTTGCCTTGGCCCTCCAACTCAGTCAATCATCAAATACCACAATGCCATCCAGGTGCTGTACACTTTTTTTTTCACTCTTGAAAGATAATATTTGGTTGTGAATTAATTACCAAAAATATGCCAGTATTCACGAGCACAAGATGAGCATAGCCTTGTCTTTTTCCTATTCCCTCATTTTTTCTCTAAAATAGATTAGCTCATGCCTGACAGATGGGATGTAAGAAAACCTGTCTTGGCTTGCTCTCATAATGAAAAGGGCATTGATGATTCAGAAAAATTCTTCTATGCAGTCTCTCCAGCCAGAAAGCACTTTGGGGTGGTTTAGAGATGGCTTTTTCAATTTAAATTGAGTCGCACCTTAAAATAAAAAGTAAACACTGCCATATATTTTAAAAACCATGTATCAAGGTGACTAGCGGTTCTCCTAAGAACAGCAGCCTCCGTTTGTATGATACTTTACCATTTTCAAAGCACTTTCATATCTATTATTTCATCTTCTCCTCACCACAACCTTATAAAGTACACAAAATAGGAATTGTAGTCTCATTTAAAAATGATAAAACTGGGGCTCATAGTAGTTAAGTGACTTGCTCAGGATTACCCAGCTTGTAAGTTTCAGTCAGGACTGGAGGCTATCTGACCCTAAGCCCAGAGATCTTAAACACTATACCATATCCTACCGCCCATTATGGTCCTGCAGTAGAGAAGCTATAGCTCCTTTGGAATAAAGAATTCAGAAGACAATGATCAGGTCATGTTTTTCCTCCATATATTAAGTTGAAGAGTAGCTACTTTGATAGGAAATTGATCTTTTACCCTATGAAAAAAGTAGTAATATACACCTTCCACACTGGGCCATGAATCTCTTCACAGAGACTATGAATTATTTTAGAACCAAGATAGTAGTATTATTCTACCAGTATTCCTCTGAACTGTTTCTGGTGGTTATTGCTTTGAGTAATTTAGCTTGGTTATCTCCCGGGAAGGTAATTTCAAACACAGGGCCATCAACCTCTTCTAACAAAAAAAAAAAAAAAAAAGGCGGTGGGGGGGACTTTATCAAGGGATATCCTTTGGCAGACAAAAGACAGTTCTACAAGAGTAATTAGGGGAGGAAAAGACTTCCAGCTTAGCTACCCAGGGTGTGAACTGACTTTCTGTCTGTCCCTCTTGCCTAGACATTTCCTATTGCCCATTTAAATATGAAAGATAAGAAGTAAAATAAATGTAAGCTTTAAAAGCTTTAATAAACATACTAAAAAAGTAGAGATTATGAAAGCAAAAACCTAGCTAGGCAAAACCCACTACAAAACAATATATAAATTTTTTCCTATAAACTCAAAACAAAACAAACACAAGCCAATCAAATTTAGTTTGGGAGCTTAGGCCAAGATTTTGTGGAAGGATCATTTCAGAAAGGAGCTTCAGATGAAGTTTTCTGAAGGTTGAAGTCCTTGAGATAACTATGTCCTGGGGTGCTCTACCCCCATGTAAATTTTACCCAGACTACTCATCAGCTGAAAACATCTGACTGACTGACTTCTCCTTATCTTCATCCTTCAAACATATATACTCCGAAAGATCCCCAATATTTCCTTACATCAAAATGAATAAAAATTTTCTCTAAGAAAAAAATCCATGCTATCTGAATTTTCCAAGTGTTTCCAAGTCTTAATTTTTTCCTTCCAAATTGAAGTAGAACCAGTCCCTAATGTTAAAGTCCACTTCAATCAAGAATCACCTTTAACTTTACTACTCAAGAGCATTTGGAAATACTTTAATGCAATTCATCATGCCAAAAAAATGATCAGCACAGGAAAGGGGGAAATAAAAAACTTCTCTCAACTGCTTACTCCAAAACTGAAAATGTTTTCTAAAGTTCTCTTCAGAAGATAAAATGTGCATGCTGGTTTAGGGCTGCATGTAAAAAAAGAAAGTTGGCACCACATAGAAAATAAGATGTCCCAGATAACTATAAAAGTCTTTAGCTACCTACTTTTACAATTGCCTGTCAAATCCTGCTTGATTTTACTGTCTAAAGAGCTATTTCACAGAATTTGATATACCAACACCTTCTACTTCAACTATAAAAAACATCCACACAAAATTTTCACTAGCTTTAAAGTCGGGTTATAACTTATGGGTAGAGCATTTTGAAATTCTACCTATGTGTTTTAACTTCCTACAGGTATCACTGTGATGTTTTCAACATACATATGTCCAAGGAAACATGATATATAAAGTATTTCAGAATAACCCATCTTGAGACAAGAGGATGAACCATATGACCTCAAGATCACCTCTGGCCAGTGATTCATAATTTGCAAACTAAATGGAGTACTAGCCTTAAGAGGTTGCATACCAATTATGGCCTGAATATATCCTTCTTACACTACTATTTTCTAATTGCTGCAGTATATACTCTGTTTTACACTGAACTTAATCAAGGATCCATTTTAGGCTTTGTAGGCTGAAAGCATATCCATAATGAGGTATGGTCATCAACAGAAAGAACTTTTATAAAAATTTTATAAAATCTGTTTTTTTAATTATAGCTAGACATTTTATACATATGAGAAAAGTGCTAACATACAGAAAAACTAGCCAAGCCTTATCACTTTAATCCTTTGTTTCTATTTGTTTATTATTTCTGTTCTAGGGGGAATTGCCCAGTGTTCGCTCAAAGTTCCATGTTCTTTTCCTCCTCTTTGTGGCCTGCATGTTTTTTGTCAGCCTTGTGATTCTCTTTGGTTACCATTGTTGGCTCGTCAGCAGAAACAAAACCACCTTAGGTAAGACTGGATATTAAGATGAGGGAAGAAACACATTAATGTATATCATAGTGGCATATGGATTATTCCCAAGGAAGAGAAAAAGTTCCAGTGAAGCATTTTATTTGTAGTGACATTCTTCTGCTTACAAACTGAGACAGATGTAAACACGTTTAACCAAACTGGAGAGCCATAGTGAATGAATAAAGCGTTATTGAATGAAACCTCACACAAAACCAAAATGGATCATTGCTCTTTATAATTCACATTGGGTAATAACGTCCCAAATTTATAGCTTGAAAAATTTCTAAAAGGTGTTCACATGAGGAAATGGAGGAAAAATCAGTACAGAAGGGAACATCAGAAGGGAGAGGTGAAGGTTAATAAAGATAGAAGACTCTAAATTATTGAGGGCATCCAAAGACAGAGTGCTGAGAAAGAATCCAAACCAACAAATCACTGGATATCTACAATCATCAAGGAGCTGTGGAGGACTGGGAATATGATAAATACACTGAATAAGTGAGTTTCTAGAAAATAAGTACAAGAAATGAACATTTTTTTTTCTGTTACTCTATACTCCAGGCTGTTATTTGGAGAATTATGTTTCTGCTGGATTCCACTGTAACAACTTTATTTCATCTATCGTGAAACAAATATTTACATTGTATACAAATAAATGCATGAGGAGTGAGGAGAAAGTGTCCAAATATTGAATGTTTAGCTAAGATAGATTGAGCAAAGTTTAGTACAAAAGCCACTATACATTTGGAACTCATTTACTAATAATGCCAATAGCTAAGAAAATATTTACACTCCTTTTCTAAACCAGATATCTGTAGCACTTAGTTGCTAGGGTGGTAGATCAGCACATTTGGCTTAGACATAACTACAAAGTAGAGAAATACTAAAAACTTCATGATAACAGAATTTGAAAACAAAGAACAAACGGGAAATGGCTAGATGCAGCCAGTCCAACAGTGAAAGTATTTTTTGCTTAATGGGATAAATGTGTGTCTAAAAATAATGTGCACTCACATGGTCCAACTCCTCAGTCTTTGAAGTGATTATAGTTCATCTGTTGACATTTTTACTGGAGTAAAACTCAGTTTCTTACATTCGCAGGTTTCAGTGTAAACATCTTCATTTCTGAAATGTCATTTCTGAAATGTCAAAACCAAATCAATGTCATTACCAACTCTTTATGCATCATTACTTTAGTCCCAGCTCTAAAGATGGAGACCACTGGGCTGCTGTTGCCACTTAGATTCAAATAAAGTACTGTTAAATTTGTTCTTTCATGCCTTACAATGCAGCAGCACAAAATATATAGTTCCCCGATGGCTGCTTAATTATTTCTACCATTATGTGATTCTTCTGCCTTTAAAAAAATAGAGTACCAATTCTTTGCATTTAATAACAAAATTACTTTGTATTAAGTAATTAAACTTGTTTTTACTAAGTAGTTTAACAATAACTAAGGATGAGAGACCAATGCTACCACAGCAAAAAGATATTGTAGCATCAAGTCACATTCATGGAGAACTGTAAGATCATGATAGTCCTGAACTTTGTTCCTTTATTGCTTTCTTCCTCTTTTCTTCAACTCCCCTATCCTGCCCTAGAGGCCTTCTGTACTCCAGTGTTTACAAGTGGCCCAGAGAAAAATGGGTTCAACCTTGGCTTCATCAAAAATATCCAGCAGGTGTTTGGAGATAACAAGAAGTTCTGGTTAATACCTATTGGGTCCAGGTAGGTAATTATTACCACTGAAAGAAATTGATGCTGGACCATGCCTTGAAATAGGAAATTCTGTTTTAATTGTAGTTTGCAACAAATAACAGTCCAGTAAAAAACTCTATTCCCCAAGCTTTTTTATTTCTAGGTTAATAAAGAGAAATTAGGAGGTGAGGGTATGATAAATAGACATTCTCATGCTTTGTGACAGTGTAAACTGGTACCACTCTTTTATAAATGAATTTGGTAATATGTATAAAAAATCATAAGAATCCACATGTCCATTGTCCTGTAATTCCACTTCTAAAAATCTATCCTAAAAACAAACAAACTAGGCATAAAAATGTTCATCACAACAATATTTCCAGCCAATAATTAGGAAACATCCAACCTAAACATTCAACAATATGCTATATATATATATATATATCCCCACTGACTGGAATATTATGTAGTCATAAGTAATAGTTATTAAAACTATGTCATAGTAAAGGGAAATGCTCCCTCTATTTTAAGTGAAAAATGTAGAATTGAAATGGTATGTACTCTGTGATCAAAAATATATGCAAAAATATGTACAAATAAATCAGAAGAAAACAACAGAGGGGACACCTACCCTAAAAATGCTGTAAGTGGATAAGTGGTATCAGTTGGTGTTTCACAGGCTCATTTATTTAAGCTCTATGGTATATCCTACTATCCTGGCTATAAAGTGCAAGACAAAACTGTGTTGGTGGGTAATGTTGATTAATAACTGTTACCAGCAATTATTTGCACCCCACTAACACACATATACAAATACACACACAGTATCACTACATCAAAGAGAGGTCTAAAATGAGTCTTCTCTGAAATAAAAAAACAAAAACAAAAATGAAAGCCCATTCACTTATAATCAGTATACTTACATTCTCTGTAGAGAACTATCAATAAAATCTGTCAACTTTCAGTTAACCACAATTATGAACAGGAGAAAAGGCATAGGTAATATAAAATGAGTAATTCAAAAGTCACTCAGATATAAATTTGCAATGCAGTCAGATATATATACTCAAATGTTCAAACTGTAGCCCACTCTAGCCAGAACTTAGTTCCCTCCAATGCATCCCATCTGTTGGTGGACAGAGATTCACCAAGGAGGTAGCCCTAGATTACCAAAGATATCCACAAAGTGGATCCCACGTGAGGGTAATTGCCCCCAAAATCTGCACTCCTAGAGATGCCTCACTCTGGCTGTTTCCCATAGTTCCTAATAACCTTTCTGCCGTACAAGCCAAATAACGGGACACTCAGACATTAATATCTATCACCAATTCACAGCAACTTATCTCTAATATATCAATGATTCTGAATCTGCTAATTTTTGTTGAAAATTTAGAACCAAAGCGATAAGATAGTTGGATATAAATTCGGATGATCATTAAATGATATTTATGAAGCCTGCAATATGTGCATATTGCCATAACTGGGCATTGTGGGAAACAAGTTTAACAGTTGCTTACAAACCAAAACAGTTGACAGTGATGCAGACAAACAAGACATAGAAATTGAAAGCAATACAGCAACTAAATGATGCTGTTGTAAAACCCTATTCCACCATGGCTTTAGTGAATAAGCTAAATGGTTTAAATCTTTCTAAGAAACCAGTCCTATTTCTAAGAGGGTTATTAGATTCACAAAAAGTCTATGTCAGCTGCAAGAGTTCACTGCCTTCCTTTCCCCAACAGCCCTGGTGATGGACACTCCTTCCCTATGAGGTCTATGAATGAGTCACAAAACCCACTGCTAGCAAATGAAGAGCCCTGGGAAGACAACGAGGATGAAAACCGAGGTGAGGAGGCTCAGAAGGAAGTCTTTTCTCCACCCATCAGAGCAAGCACTACTAAAGACCATGTTAATACAACCAAAGTAGTGTAGTGAGAAAATAGTGTCCAGAAAGATTACATAAGCATGTCAACCTCATAAGTGCCCTTTGGATAGAGAAGGGCAAATATGGCCATATTTGTGTAGCAAATACAGGTGGCTTAGGTTGGATTAGATGGCAGCGTGGAAGGTTTCTTAACAGTTTTGTGATACCATGATTTATAACCAAAGAGATAAGTCAGGAAACATAATAAACAGTGCTGTGTATATTTATAAACAGTCCTGCCAGTTGCTCACTCATGGTGCTTTGCTTGAGTTAATTTAATCAGTGGACTGCAGCTCACCTTTCTCTACACTAATTTATTCACATTGGTTAAATTTTCTTTATTTTTTTTAAGATTTTGTTTATTTGAGAGAGAGAGTGAGTGAGAGAGAGAACACAAGCAGGGGCAGAGGGAGAGGGAGAAGCAGACTCCCCGGCTAAGCAGGGAGCCTGATGAGGGGCTTCATCCCAGGACCCTGGGATCATGACCTGAGCCGAAGGCAGACACTTAACCAACTGAGCCACCCAGGTGCCCCTAATTTCCTTTAAAATATCATTCCCATTCTGTCTTAGAATGGTTTAAATACACAAAGAAATATAGGATATGTAGGCAAGCCTACACGGCATGTAGTCTACTTTTCTAAAAGGCAGAGCAGCAAAGGAAAAATGAGGAAGCAGAACTTTGTCCTTCCACCTTTCTCCCACCAGATTTTTGGATCATAATGAGATTGGTGTGTGCGTATGTGAAAAGCTTTAAGTTAAGTTCTCATGTCACATACCCCTACCATCACCTGTTCTTTGTCTCCACGTGATGTTATGCTTGCAACTGTGCCTCCAGCATGTGTTTATGTTGCTAATACCAGGCATCAAAGTGTAATTTTTACCAGCTGATCCCAATAATACAGTAGCTGACAAAAATTTTGAGTGAGAAATAGTAGTACTAGTCGGAAACTGTACCTGGGGTGAATAAGGCTGATGAGGACACAGAAAAGCATTGAGGTGAGGAACAGAGATGGGAAGCATGCTTTTATAAATGTTTGCCCAGTTAAATTTTCTAGGTCCAAGGTTTCTATCTCAAAGTCCCTTTTTAGAGTAAGGCAGATTGCTAGGACTAAGGAAGATAAAACATTCCAAAATTCACAGTTACAAAGGGAAAGAGTTCTTGCCCAGCCAACTGGGCACCTCCCGTATTGACTCCTGCTGAACCTTTATTGAAAAACTGACTTACCTTCCTTCAGCTCTCACTCTTTCCATTTTGCTCCTTCAAGTTTTTATTTAAATTCAATTAGTTAATATACAGTGTAATATTAATTTCAGGTATAAAATTTAGTAATTCAACACTAAATAAAGCACAGGGTGCTACCACAACATGTGCCCTCCTTAATCCCTATCACCTATTTAACCCATCCCCAAAACAATTCCTCTCTGATAACCATCAGTTTGTTCTCTATAGTGAAGAGTCAGCTTCTTGGTTTTCCTTTCATTTTTTCCCCCATGTTTGTTTTGTTTCTTAAATTCCACATGAGTCGGGGGGAGAAGCAAGATGGCGGAGGAGTAGGAGACCTAAATTTCGTCTGATCCCAGGAATTCAGCTAGATAGGGATCAAACCATTCTGAACACCTACAAACTCAACAGGAAATCGAAGAAAAGAATAGCAGCAACTCTCTGAACAGAAAAG